AGTCCCTCATTAACATAAAGGCAATTGGTGACTTTGGGCTAGCCACACACTCTCAGCCCTAGTCAGGTGGCAACAGCAAGTCATTTCCAAAATATCTTGCCAAGAAAACTGCAGGGACTAATCCAGGCAGTTGGCAGGAATCTGACTACTTGAAGGTAGAAACTGGGTACACACAAAGGGGGGGAGGGGCAGGGGAGAGAGAGAGAGAGTCTATGAAAACCAGAAATTACTATACTATCCACTACACCAGAGGTCTACAGCACCAGAGACTGGTTCCGTGGAGTGTTTTTTTCCTGCGGATTGGAAGGGGCGTGGTTTCATGTACCGCTAGCACCAGCGGGACGTTTGGGGTGGTGCTACTGCCAGCGGGATGCTCGGGGGCAGGGCGGCACTAGCACCAGCAGGACACTTGGTGGGCGGGGCGGCGCTACTGCTGGCAGGACGCTTGGGAGACTTTGCACGGCCCTGTGGCCAAGCGGCCGTGGCCCGGTAGTGGGCCACAGCCCACAGGTGGGGACCCCTGCACTACAGAATGCAGAAAAGGCCTACCAAACACTGTGACTGCTCTTGGCCCTGCATCTATTTTGGGGTGCAGAATGCCTCCTTGATTTCCAAGTACAGTATTTGACATGGAGGCAGAAGAAAGATGGTGGCCTTCACAGAGGCAGGACACAAATGTCAGCTAAGAAAAATACTCAGCCCATCATACTGTAAGGCATTTCAGCTGTCAAGGTGTCAGGAAAGTCCCCTTAACAAAAGTAGTTATTAGATTGGCTGTAGATGAGAGCTGTGCTCCAACACATCCTAAAAGGGAAAGCAACATTACCTGTTGAAGCATCTCCCCCCTCCCCCAAATACTCTCAGAGGGAACTGGAGTGTTTGGATCCAATTCTCTATGCTTTAAGCTCCCACAAAGTCATCATTTTGCTTAAGAAAAATCCTTTTTCCATACATGGGAAAACAGCAATAGGAAAATTAGTGCACTCTTAACTCAGAAATCTTTGTGTATGCTTCAAAGGATACATTCCAGTCTTGTTTTCATTGCTAGGATTTGGGAAGCAACATTAAAGAGAGATTAATGAGAAATTGAGTCAAATATTCTTTGAATTGCACTCAACTCCAGAGTCATCTTAGCTACAACACAAGTGATTTTTCATTACCTTCTTGCACGATTCTTTTTGAATCATCAGTGGAAATTATAGCATTGGGATTTTCTGCTAGTCTTCTATCCAAATATTAACCAGGTCTGGCACTGCATAGGTTTTGAGCCCAAATGACGTTGCCCAGATTCCATTGCACTATTGAAATCAGGAAAACATCCCTTTTGGCATAGGAAAAATTGCAAGGTAAGCCTGCTCTCACATGGGGTCAATTAGCCATTTCATTGATCACAGCTCCTATTTGCTTGTGATTTCAAAGAATCCCATAGGAGAAAATGACTCTTGGAAGTAATCGAGTGTGTCCTTCCTAGAGTTACAAAGCAGTGGTGATTTTAACTTGTGTAAAATCTGTTTCCATTCTGCCTTCCTAACCAGACCTGGTTAATTTTGCCTTCCTAGATCCTACTCCCTGCTGCTTCTGATTGGGATCCAGTTGAGTCGAGTTCATAGGGGACTTGAATGAATACTGCCTCTTTTTCTCTGTGCTGAGTTCCCCCCGTCCCAGATTTTCCTCCTGACTTTGGCCATTTTCTCATTATTTAGTAATTTATCCTTCCTTAGAATGCCAACTTGTATTGAAGATACCTATAGAGGCACCTTCTGTTAGAGTGGAAAAGGAAATCCATCTTCCCCAGAGAGGCTTCTGGAGATCAACAGGCCCTTCAGACTCTTGAGATCATGTTGCAACACCCCACATCTTACCCTGGCTTGCACCCTATGAATAAACGTCCCTGAGCATATATAGAGTTTTATCCCTGGGTGACAAAACTACATATGCTCAGGGGCAAAACAAAACTATTGGCAAGAACGTCCAGAATATTGCTTGTTTTGTGAAGGAACTATTTCTTCATTCCTACTTAGCATGCTATGGAAAACAGGCCATCTTAGAATGGAATAGGAATAGGAATAGGAATAGGAATAGGAATAGGAATAGGAATAGAATAGAATAGAATAGAATAGAATAGAATAGCTTTATTGGCCATGTGTGATTGATAAGGAATTTGTCTCTGGTGCATAAACTCTCAAAATTCAAACAACCAAGTAATGTAATCATAAGGTACCAATAAGAGAAAGTAGTAGAAAAGATGAGAAAGATAATCTTATTATCTTATAGGTCATCTTATTAAGTCATAATAAAGTTTATTTGGGCATTGCATCTCATATGTACGCAAACACTCAGCTTTAGGCTTTATGTTTGGATAGAATGTTATCTTTGGGCAATGACCTAAAAATGTGTAACACCAGATTGAGACAGTAGGATTAAATAACAGCATACAATCTTTGTGGAGGATCCTCCCAAAGAAACATTAATTAGTATACATTTTCTTCTATACCTTTTGCCCTTTATGGATGGTTGGGCCACTACTCTCCAAAGTCCAGAAAAAGACATGTTTTCTTTATTGCGAGCAATCACTGCAGAAATATTTCTAAAGTAAAATGTTTACTTCTAAAGAAATGAAGCCTTTTGGCAAATAGGCTCAAAGCACCAATTTATAAAAAGAAAGAATAACAGGAAATAGAAACATAAATGCCACTTCTTTTTAAGAACCTCTCCCACGTTTCTGGAAATTACCCTGAATTCTCTGCTCTGTTGTAAAAGGTCAGAAATGATTCTTCCTTCCAAAATAGAGATTCTGGCTGGCTAAGGCAATTAAGGTTTCTAAGCCTTCTTTTTCTGCCTTGGCACCACAATCTAGGATTACTGAACTCTGAGCTATCAATTTGAAGTGAAAAGTTTCTCTAAGCTGTAGTATATATCTTAAAACTCAGGAAAAAAGGACCAATACTTGTTTCATATTAGAGACCCCTTCTATATTAAAAGATTGCCAGACCCCTGAATGATTCATGCAACACATAAAGAAAATATGCACATATTTGTACAAAGCACTAGTTGCAGTCACCCACAGTTTTCCAACAATGCTTATGTGCTCTTTGTGAAATAGAGAAGTTATAGTAATCTAGAATTATACTGTCACTGGCATTTTGCTTTGCAGCATACTACCTATTTAAGTATCTTTTAACATATCAGATAGGCGCCAACATCAATATTTCACTCTAAAATGAATGGCCATCTTTGCAGCTGGGCTAAATGGTTCATGTACCTGTGTTTTCACTCTTTGCCCTGGCAGGGCAAAATCACCCGAAGCCCCACTTTCCTTCAACTGCAATGCCATGACGCAAACCAGAAGTCCCTCCAGTTTGAATTTTAAAGAGGAGGAAGTAAGACATAAATAAGACTGCCAATAAGTGTAACTCATGAAAAATCTTTTTTTTTTAAATCATGAAGGACTTGAACCTTTTTTTAAAAAAATAACTAAACAATCCGCTGGCTTACATCCAGACCCTACTGCATCTGAATATGTTCATGTATTGCCATTTGATTACTGATGTCCGATGCCTATTGATCCCCATCCGAGCCATTCCTGCAGAGATCTCAGGACAGCTGTGCTGATAAAACATTTTAAAGCCCCACATAAAAATGTCAAATTAACAGACATAAAAGGACTTCAAATCAGAAAGTATTTTATTGATTACAAAACTGTATTCTTGTTAATATCTCCCAACCAGGAGAAACCCAACTATTATCTTCATTCCATGCCCCAACCAAGTATCACCCAACAGTGTCATCAGCTACCAAGGGCACAAGGGCAAGATCTGCTCAGCACTTAAGGAAGCTATCAAGGAAAGAGAAGTTGCTGATACCTGGACAATTGATCTTAGGTACTTAGGATGTCTTTCAAAAGAAGACACCTTCTGTGCAGCCCTAAAACCCATCAACAGGCCACAGCTTATCACGCAAAAACCATGGGCTTTCTTTTAGACGGGAGGGCAGTAGCGTCTTTGGAAAAAGCAAGAGTCTAGAAATGAGTCACTATTTTCCTGAAAGTCCCTATTTCCTTTTTGCTGCTCAGACATGGTAGATAAGTAAACAGACATCAAAAGAGTACATCAACTGTGCCAACTGCCCAGCCTGTTTCAGGAAAAAAATACTTGGCACTTGGCCTTTAAGCTCTAGGCCTTTTCAGTATAAATAGCAAAACAAAAACAAAAACAAAAAAACCCTTCCACATATAAGTAACTCGTAAGCTCCTTCTTTTCAAACTGTGTATAACTGCATGATCCAGGACCAGCTATTCTCTTTAGCAGCTTGAACAGCTTCACTAAATCCCAGATCCTGTGTATCATGGGGCAAAAAATGCTGGAATGTAATTACAGACTATAAACTGTTGCATGCCATGCCCTTGACCTGAGACTGCTCAATAAAGCAGCTCCTATCTTACTACTCAAACAACAGCTTTATTGCAAGCCAGCTTTGACCCAGGTCAGCAATAAACTTCTCACATGACAAGAAGGAAACAGAAAGCACTTCATTAGACCTCACTAGAGCAGCTCTTACTTAAAGGATCAAGAAAAAGGCAAGGTATATAGGCAGATTAAGGAAACCTTTCCCAGTTTGCTGTTCCCTCTTGCATATGTTGAGTTGCCCCTCTTGCCCATCATCTCCATGCCATATGGCCAACGTAGGTAAAGATGCAGGTTGGGGAAGGCCACTTTGGAGAAAACAGTGAGAGGCAAATATATGTGTCCCAGGATAATGTTGCAGGATCCAATCTGAGTCGGTCACCAGGACCAGAGGTTTAATCTTCCAAGCTTTTAGACTTGTACTGGAACCCATCCTCAGGGAAATTCTCTCCCTCAGAATGGGCTCCAGCCTGAGTCTGAAAGTTTGAAAGACTAAACCTCTGGTGACCAATTCAGATTGGATCCTACAAAGTAGTGATGATGAGAAATTATGAAAATTGCATTTCAGGAAAAGATGGTCACTTGTACTCGTCTTTTTAAAATAGAATAGATAAGATTCTATTTGGCAGAAGCATGAGAGTATCCTTTATGCAGGTTGGATTACTGGGGACAAGCAAATGCCCTCCTCCAATTGCTTTATGATGTTATTTTAACAGAAGATAAACAATGAAGTGACAGACACCCACAAGGCAGATGGTACAGCTTAGGAACTACGTACAAGGTTTCCAGAAAATCTTTCCAATTACGTCCACTGTCCCCATCCCAAAATGCTGATGAAGAAAGATGGAGCAAGGCTTTAGATGGCTTCCAAGCAACCCCAGGAGAGAGCCCATAACCACTTGAGGGCTGCTTAGCAGCAGCAGACCTCTACTCTGTGGTTGCTAAAGAAAGGGTAAAAACTCCCTCTGCTTCCTTCAGTAAAGGGCAGAAGAATGAAATAATGGAGAAACATCCAGATGTTTAAAGTTAAGCAAAGCATCCCCAGAGTTACAAAGCAGATCTTAAAACCAGTTGGCTGTTTTTAGCCCGATCTCCCAGCAATACAGGCCAAATTCATTCAATAAAAGGTCCAAAGTTGTGGTGCAGAAGTAAGAGTTCCACTGCCATCAACTATCTCCATTAATGGAAAGCTCATCTGTGGCAATGAGACCTTCTCTATCAATATCTCTCGCTGCAACCCCTGCTGGTGGCCTCCCCCAGGGCAGGCGAGCAAGGAGGGGCTGGTGCAGTCCATTATAAAGGGCAGCTCCAACAAGAAGGATGAGGAAACCCAGGATCTGCAGTCCATGAAAGGACTCCCAGCCAATGGCCAGGCTGACAACCCAGATGACAATGGTGCGCAGGCTATCAAGTACCATCCGGGTGGTGGCGCTGATCTCTTTCGTGACACTGATACCAGCAAAGTTGAAGAAGGCAATGCTGCTGATATTGCCCAGCAGGGCTACAGCAATAAGTGGCAGATTGCCAATCTGACAGAAGGCATCTATAGCGTCTTCCAGTACCTGCCGTGGGCTACCGCTGAAACTGCCCCCAGGTATGAAGTACATGGGCACCAGGATGATGGAGAGTATGACGAACCCAAAGAAACCTGTTAAGGAGGAAGAAGAAATGAAGATGATTGAAACCCAGGAGGATTATAAGCCAATCTCCTCCAATTGGTCCTATCAAAAAGGTAAAGACAGCTTTGAGTTGTGCTCAAGTCCTAGTGATCACACTGACATAGCCTTGGCAAGAGTAAAAACGCTGCTTTCCACTGCCTCCTTCAGGATGTTTTTCTTATGTCCCAATTTCGATATACCTCTGGACATTCCTGCTAGTCTCCCACCAGTATCTTACTTGACTTCCAAGCCCAGGCAAGATTGGTCAGATACTGCTACCTGCTGAATCTCCAGGAGACATTCAATGTAAAATACTTCCAGTAGTTACAAAGCTGCCTTCTCCAACCTGCCAGTTTCTAGATATGTTGAGTCTATTACCCTCACAGTACTCAGCTTTGCTGTCTGGAAGCTGTAGCCCCTACACAGCTGTTATAAAACCTCAAGAAAAGTGACTGCTAAAAGAAGGGGATATTTTTCCCCAAGCAAGAAAGGAGCAAAATTTAGGAACTTTAGAATTATGCCATGCCTTGTACACCGAGGAAATAGAAACAATCTTTTGGGGGATATTCTTTCAGCCAATAATTTACTGCTGTTCATGATGATCTTCAAAGAACATAGTACTCAATTGTAGCAGCAAATTATTTATAAATCATCTTTCCATTTTGTCACAGATGGCAACTCTTGATCCATGTGAACCCAGACCTCCATCTGGGAACATTCCAAGATTGCTTACATACCTTCAGTGCCAACAGCCTGCAGAGGGTGAACATTGTGCTTGTAGATAAATTTCTCCTCCAACACCATCTGAATGGCCACAATAACTTGGGCCATAATGATGAGAAGGTCACCTACAGAGAAGCAAGAATCTAAGTGTTCTAGAAGGCATACACTCCCACTTATTTCCTCTATCTCTATCCAATCTTGAAAGGAAAAGTGTGTGAAATAATCATCTATTCTGTTACATATGGAGATAGATACCCTATGCGTCTGTCTTTTTCCCCATACAATTTTTATTCTTTTTATTACATTGCAGATTAGTTTTATTGAAGCCATTTAATTTAATAGCAATGCATGTTATAAAATAATAAACTAGACACACAGATTCCATTTATCTATAACCTTAATGGCAAATAGCCATTCTATTACTTGTTTAAATAATCTAAGCCAATTGCAACAGTCTGTGACATAGAATGCTCGGTGAATTGCAGGAAGAAATTGTTGCTGAGCTCCTTGCCAGTCCATTTCACCATTTCAACAAAGAACTCCAAGTTTACATATCTGTCATACTGTAGCACCAATCCTCTAGAGATTGTAACCTTTGTTAAAATCAACTATGTGGATGTAACCCATAAGTGAAGAAATGGCCTATTCTCCGGAAACCTCATTAAAAGCTATTGTTGGAACTATATGCATACTCTTTTACCCTAGAAAGACCATTAGTAGATAATGATTGATAACATCCTGGATAAGGTATTGATTTTATCTTTTGCTTTTATATAAATTCAAATGCTAGAGGTGCAGTATGTTATTTTTTGGGTGCTATTTACAACATATATCTCCCCCCAACAGCTCTCCAAAGCTGTTAGAGCAGAACATTGGTATTTCTTGGTCAGTTAAATTCTGGGGGATGGACTCCTGCACTATGTGTTGGAATTCTGAATCAGAGTGATGAAATCTAAAACAGAAAGTATGGGGACACTGCTTTCTGAACTAAGATGTTTGGATTGGAGAAGAAGAGAAATGTTTTTAAGCTAAGCATCACAATGCTAATGAAGAAGAGCATAGCATGGTCAGAAAGCATATCTGGATATTGAGGACATCTGACAGGAAAGTAAGCCTGCGATCTCTGAAGATAAAGAGCATGAACTGCAAAGGAAACCACTCTCCAGTACACCTGCAAGGGCCACTGGCCTTAGAACACACTCCCTACGTACCTGTGATGATCTCACTGAGTTTGTGGCTTTCATCATGATTGCTCAGCAAATCTGCCAGGCCAACCACCACCAGCCCTACAATGGTGATCAGGATGCCCAGCCATTGGTTTAGTACCAGCTTCCTCCCCAGGAAGGCTACTGAGAGCAGGCCAGTAAAGATGATCACAGCTCCACGCAACATCTGAAAGCTAGAAGCACTGGTCATGTTCAGAGCTGGAATGGCAAAAATGGGTAGTGGGGAAAGAGGGAAGAATGATGGTTAGAGGAGGAGAGACAAAGAACAACTAGAAATTGGGGTAATGATAGCATGAACTGATGCTCAAAATAGAAGAACTTATGTTGTCCCCCTTTCTTTTCAGACATTATAGAGTGCCAAGAGATTTTACTCCAGAGGGAAGAGCAGGAGCAGAAAAATGATGACAAAGGGATTGTATACTACAGAGTAAATAGTGCTTCCACGAGTGAAATCCTTTTATTCTGTCTCCCCAACTTGGTAGGTGGTTATATCAGGAGTTGTGCCCACATCCCAAAACATTATTTGCCATTCTTTACATACTCGGTTTCGTCAGATGTAAACTATTTACTTATTCTGAATGGCTTGCTTTTCCTACTGTGTTAAAAACAGTTGCTTCTGAATGGAAGTACTGCACGGTTGCATTTTTCAAACAGACAGAGGGAGAGGAAGGTGTTTCTCAGTCCTTTCAGACAGGCAAGCAGCAAGGAACAGAAACTTCAGGGATTTAACTTTATTTTTGTAGGCTATAATAAATAATCCTGAAAATCTGTTCACTTGCCCCTTGACCCCTTTTAAGGACAAGGTCAAGGCAGGGTCATTCTGAGCCTCTTATACTTTTCACTTTCCCAGGGCTGATCAACTGTTTTTTTTTCTCTCCCTCCTCTTTCTCAAGGCCAGAGTTAAACTCCTCCAAAGTATCATATTCTTAGCAAACCTCCCCCTGCCTCACTTTTACTGGAGCCCTAGTGGCGCAATGGCTAAAATACAACATTGCAGGCTAATTCTGCCTACAGCCAGGAGTTCGATCCTAACCGGTTGACTCAGACGTCCATCCTTCCAAAGTCGGTAAAATGAGGAGCAGATTATTGGGGGTAATATGCTGACATTGTAAACTGCTCAGAGAGTGCTGTAAAGCTATGGAGCAGTATATCAGTCTAAGTGCTATTGCTGTGGCTATTTTATGCACCCATCTGTATACACACTTACCCACATACATGAGGCTAGTCCCCGTCATATCACATAGTGCTGGAGGCAGGAAAAGCAATCCGTTAAATGGCTGAGGAGGTGTCATGGTGGGTTCTGGCCTCCTCCGGTCACTGCAGAGCAGGAGATAGAAGACAGCCAGGCAGGAAAATTCCCCCAGAAACATGCCCACCGCCTGAAATGCAAACCAAAAGGCTGTCAAAGTTCTGGATTGTCATGGATAGCAAACACCCACCAAAAGCCACCAACTTCTCTCAATCTCCTGGCAGAACTTGGACAGATTACCAAGTTGGTTTGTATCAAGGATTCGGATTTTTCAGTGTATATTCATGACCATTTCAACTGTGTTTTCTCTGAAAGTCTCAGTAGATGGCAGCATCGCTTCAATCCTAATTGGCTTTGGAGGCTAAGCAGGATTAGATGTAGTTATAAGATGGATGGGAGACCCGTAGGAAATCCCAGGACTGTAGATGAGTTGAAAGAATTTTCTAAGAAGACAATGGTCCACCATTGGCATTGTTGCCAGGAAAACTGTACTGATGTGCTGAAATAGTCACCAGAACTTCAACTCAATATGACTTTTCCCCATGTCTATGGAAATGCATGTGAAAACCTCCACTAAGAGCTTGAGTTATACCTATCAAAATACTCTATATCTGGCTTGATTATATACTGTATCTCCATGTTCTCTCAGCTTGAGAAATACTGGCATGACTATCGCCCAGGATCGCAAGTAAGGGACTGGTTATGTGTATTGAAGGGCAGCAGCATCCACAGCAATAGTCCCCGGCGTACATGCAGATTTGTCACAAAATGGGAAAACAAAAGCAAAAAAGAATACGGAGATTTTGTGAATGCAGAATCTGAAAAACCTCTGCTCTTAGCATCACAGAATTCAGTTTGGCCCAGTGTTTCTTAACCTTAGCAATTTTAAATTGTGTGGAATTCAACTCCCAGAATTCCCCAGCCATCATGTGACTGAAGTGGTTTAGATATAATGAAACAAAGTAGTGCAGAATCTTGCCAATGTTACCTGTACAAAGGGATGCTGGAAATTGTGTGGTTCTGTTCCATGGCAGCCTGGTGCCTTCAGCTTGTCAGCCCACCTGAAAGGAAGGAGTGAGGCCTCAGTTAGAATACATGTCCCCAAGCTTTGGATTTACATCTCATTTTGGGATTTGGGGATGTGAAACATTGTTGTAAAATCTTGTGCAAAATGGTAATGGAGACTAGTCCATTCATCACACGGAGAATCTGCTAGAAATCACTGATTCATTAGATTTCTACCTGCCATTCTGTCATCCACATCTCTTGAAGGATAAACCCTACCTGTGGGAGCCACACTGGGGATCTGAGAGTTTAACATACAGAAACGTGTCCTACAGATGAGTATCTCATGTAAGTAAGGTCTTAGAAGAGGCCCCACTTATAAGTGGAGATCTAATAAACCAATATTTGCCAAAACGTTTCTATAATATTGCTCCGGATGGCTCTCAACTCCCGTAAAAGCAATTTGAGAATGCCCCTCTCTTTCTCACTTCAAGCCAAAACTGCCTTTCTAATAGATGAGATGATGGCAGTTGGTAATGGTCGTTTTCATTCAGATGTTGAAGAAGATGTGTACTCTGCTAGCAAGGCCAAGTTGAAAGACAAGGGAAGAACTACTCCTTAAACAGCCTTCTCCAACCACAGCTCAACACATTTGAAGAAAATGACTAGGGAAAGCATAACAATAAATTAAGCGTAGCCAGTTTATTGGCTTTGCTCAACTTCTAAGGGAAAAATTGCTCTGTGATACATTCCTTTGCCTGGACATGTCCCCAGCTTAGATATCTAACTGCAAACAAAACTGCAAAGAGTGTATTTGCTGACACCAGGCCAAATCTGGTTGCTGTAATTGGAAACTCTGATATAGCAGACAAAGTAACACAAGAACAGATCTTTCACAGTTCAGGTGTCAAGACTGCCATTCACCTATGCCAAAAGTAACATTTGGTGGAACAAAAAGACACCCAATAATTACATGATATAGTAGGTACACAGTCACTATTGCTAAACATATATTGATGGGGATTAGGTCTGCGGGTAAGTGGGGGCGGGCAGCTAAGAGTTTTTACACTGCAACTTTTCAGTAATGCCGATGGAAGGTAGGGTTGAATTGGAGGGTGTTTTTACCTGTTTTGATAGGGATATTTTTATCTTTTTGCCAAAAATGGGTGAGAAACAATGCTTGCCACTGTTAGCTTGCTTACAAAATATAGCAACAGGATCTTGTTAAGCTTTAGAAGCCCCAAAAGGGATCATAATGCAAAGAGCTCCTTCCCCACAGTATTGGTGGAATATTATTAATAACCCAAGAAAGAGTTGATGGGATAAAGAATGCTACACTACAACAGAGTAGGTGATGGGTCAGCTATCTGTGTGGTTGCAAGCAAAACCACATCTGAAAAGGGTATTTGTGGCCTGCTGAGATTAGAAAGTCTTCAGCGGCCCCCTTCAGCGGCCCTCGTCGGCGGCCCCAGCAGTCCTCCTCGGCGGCCCTTTCAGTGGCCTGGCGGCCTTGGTGGCCTTTCCGGCGGCCTCAGCGGCCT